AGAGAGAGAGAGAGAGAGAGAGAGAGAGAGAGAGAGAGAGAGAGAGAGAGAGAGAGAGAGAGAGAGAGAGAGAGAGATTTTTTTTGGGGGGGGGTTCATGACGAACCCATTCAGGAGCACTAATGAATGAGGGACAGAAGCCCAGCCGTCAGTGCAGAACACTGTCACACACACGCACACACGCACGCACACGCACACACACGCACACACACGCACACACACGCACACAGGAGAGAGAGAGAGAGAGAGAGAGAGAGAGAGAGAGAGAGACAGGGGAGGGCATTGGGGTGGAGCCTTGGAGGGGATGCCGGGAGAAGGGAGGGGCTTGAACTGAGAGGGGAATGGGAGGCCCACGCCTATCAAAGTTGCAAATCCGTCACACAACGCCATCTGCGTTACAATTAGGGCGATTGCCATCAAACCCACAGGATCGGCCGTAAGAGGTCACCGAGATTAGGTCTGGGTTACATTTATAGACTGTTTAAAGTGGCTGGGATAGGGGAGGGCAATTACCACGAAACCCACAGGATCCGCCTTAAGAGGTGTAGCTAGGTGAGATGGGAGCTCAGACTGTCCGTGGGTGGGGGGTGGGGACTCTGGGGAGTGCTTTCGGATGGGATCGTGGGAGATGTGGGGGTGTTATCCCCTCCACGCCCTCATTCTACTTCCTCATGGCAGGAAACTTGTGTCCGATTTGAACCATACGCGCTTGCAGCGACCGCCGAGTCACCGACCGGTCATCCTCCTGCCGTGGACAACACGCTTTGACTTACCGACCCGTCGTCCTTACTCATACCATGCGTGACTTGTCTCTCGGCAAGTGTTGTTTTGCTGAATTGCCCCTGGCAGGAACGCAATCTATTATGTTAATGCCCTGGCCTACGGTGCTCATCTACGGTCCAGAGTCTATTGGTCAAAAAATTATTGTCTTTGTACCCTCTCTTGTCCTCTCTCCCCCCACCCCGCCCCCCCCTTAAGGGGCTCCATACCCATTGAGCTATCATCGCCGAGCTGACCGAACCCAGTCTCCCAGATTATTCAGCTGTTTTAGTCATCTGATTCCAGCGGGATTTGAATTCAGGCCTGTTTATCAATGATTCCATGAAGGGGTCACTTAGGGGTGTGTCATTCACCCACATGGGCTGGGTGGGTGACAGTGGGCATGCTAATATGTCGATTGCTGCCATCATGATGCCGTTTGTTTTTTTTCCTTTATTTGTTTTTCTTTTTTTGTTATTGAAGGGCCTACTAGACACTTACATTTAATTTACTGTATCCGTCTGATTTCATCGGGGTTCGAACACATGGTCCGTTTCAATAACAGTCACATCATCATGTGTGTATCAGTTATGCACACGTGTCAGGGCTGTCTTCTGCCCTGTCATCATCTGCAGTGTCGTCTTTACCTTAAGTCATATCTGTTTTTTTTTTTTGTTTTTTTTTTTTGGAAGCCTTAATATACTTCATAGCCCGCCGTCAACAAAATTTAATCAAACTAAGCGGTGATCATTTCTTGCCAGTTCCACCACTCCGGCTTTTCCTCGGCTTYTTTTTTTTTTTTTCCCTTTTTTTTTTTTTTGATTGGCAGGCCGATTGAATGGACCTCTCCAGGGGCCAAGTTCCTCAACGCCTGAATCTGGGCTTGTTTGTGGAGATGAGCAGTTCACGACCAGATTCAGGCGTTTGAGGAAACTCGACGCTGCTAATAGGACTTGGCCCCGGGCGCTTTCCACTCTTCCCTAACACTGTTAACAGTTCCTTTCCTCTTTAAATTTCTGTTTTTCGTTTCCCCCCGTCATCGGAACGATCGCCGGAATCCTTTTCACACTGATTCCGGCGATCGTTCCGATTAATCATACTACTGGCACAGTACCTTTGGACCTTTGCTGAATTTTGTGAGTGTGGACGGGTGTGCACTCCCCTAACCCCCTTCTCACCCCTTCTCCCCCCCTCCCCCCCTCCTCCCCCCTCCTTTTCCTATTCCCCTCATTGCCAAGCTTTCTCTATGGGTTTCTTTATTTTCTTTTTGGACATCAAACTAATTTTTCATCCTAAAATCAACAGAAGCCGTCGAATTTTCATTTATTTTCTCCGGAAAGTCTTTTTTTTTTTTTAAGGCTAATTCTGATAAGCGCAACCAATTGAAGTTGCAAAGAGC